CTAACACCTTCTTCCACCTTCAACCCCCTTTTAGGTAGTTGTAGAGAGCAGTAAGGTCTCTCCTGAACCTCCTTCTCTCCAGGCTAACCAAACCAAGTTCCCTCTGCTGCTCTTCACAGGACTTATTCCCTAGTCCCTTCACCAGCTTTCTAGCTACTTGGACCCACCCCATTACCTCAATGTCTTTCTTGTAGTCAGGAGACCAAAACTGAACACAGTATTCAAGGTGTGGCTTCACCACTATTGAGTACAGAGGGACAATCACATCCCTAAACCTGCTGCCTCAGAATGTAGAAGCCCAAAATTACATTCACTGCAATTACAAAGTGAGAAAAATATAGAAGAGAATGAAAAGTTGTTACAGAAGATGCCTTTTAGGGCACTTGATACATAGAGAAAAGAATAGCCAATATAAAGTAGTGACCATTAAGAAATCAAGCTCATCATAAAGCTACTTGCAACAATTTCAGTATTTTGTCTTCTTTGTAGTCACCCTGTCCTTTCTGCTTGTTTCAGTGACCAAAAAAAAAGGAGCTTCATCTTCAGTTCACACTGTAGCTCTACTGCAACTGTGGAAGAGCAACTATAGTATAGCCTGCTTCATGCATCATTGACAAAGTTGTCAGCTGAATCTCTGGTTGCAGATTCCTTACTGGTGGTGATAATGTGAGAAGTTTATGGGAACATAGGTTGACTTGTAGAGCCCAGGCAGAATTCCCATTTAGAAAAATAATCCATTTACTCATACACTGAGCAAGTCTGATAATGGGGAACCCCTCCAATCAGCCGTCAGTGGGTTTCTCTGACTTTACAGAACCTGCAGTAAGAGTAAAGGGATGAAGGGAAGGATCAAAGTTATTGCGACTGTACAGCAGGTGTGTATTTTCTACATGATAAACTATTTCAGAAAACTGTTGAAAAATCATCAATTATTAGTGTGCAGTTAGATTGAGAAAAGCAAAGAATGGGCACATCTGAGATATAATCATGCCTTGCTACTCATCTAAAAAGGTCAGTAAAGGACAGTGACTCTTCAAAGTGAGGAAGGGACAGAGGAACCTTACCACTTGATCTATGCATGAAAAATGTTAAATGGGGGAAAAATGCAGCAAAGAGCATATGATTACATGAGTATTGCAGAGAGAAAGTCTGAACAACAAAGAAGTTTATTTAGCTACAATTATACAACTACAGAAAATGTTGCTTTTTTAACATTTTGAGTGGAAAAAGAGCCTTACCAGCATCCATGGTTCAAATGCTCAAAGTCACCATTGAACAGGATGCTTTAAGAAGTAGGGACGGAGCAGAAATTCTTAGGGGATCAATCCCCACTACAAAATCAAGACCTAGAAACCAGGAGTTCCACCTACAGGTTAATCTCTTCGGTACAACTCTCCGTAAGGCTCAGGAGGGGTCAAGGGTTTTGCTGTAGCAAGAGAAGTCAAGCTCCAGCTAACAACCATATTTTCTGGTGCAAAATGACATGTGTGGAGATTTAGATTCAGTTTTTCTTTGTTTTTCAGCTTAAGGGTGGCATTTTCAAATCTATATGCCATTTTGCTCCATTAGACTTTTCTACCTGGAGTGAAAAGGGCTACTGCACTGTTGAGTAGAAGTTTGTTTAGCTGCTTCTCAGATTGCATCTTAATGCAGTTAGCAGCCCTCCAGCCTCAATCCACTGCTGCAATGCTTGATTTGACAAGTGCTCTGTGGAGACCTGACAATTTGATTGGAATGAAAATAGTCTATAACCTAGCTACAGTTACATTCCAGATAAATATGATCTATTCAGTTCTTGTGTTTTACTGACTAATGTTTGAACGGGCAGAACCCTGCACAGCAGACAATTTCCATCGTAAAGCTCTGTCCCATACTGTACTTTGCAATTATAATCCCTACAGAATAATTTATTAAAGTAGGAGAAATGTAGGTTAAGGTCTATTTTGTCCTACCCCCCTAAGTTTTCATACATGTAAACCCTTTCCATCCTACATCCCACTGAACACAAATCAGGATGAATAACCTCATGCTCCCCAGTACTAGGCAGAAGTCACAGTTAACTGTTGCAGGGGTATATACTGGACCCTGTTTTGGGGGGTCTATATTAATTACAGAAAAACTATCCTGGCTGGAAGACAAAAGTACAAAATTGTGCCAAAGTTAAAAATATTTCAAGCTCTTAAATAAAAGAACCTTTCAGTTTTCCCATGAACATTATAGACTTACTTTTTTCTGCTTAATCCCAGCCTGTCTGCCCATTTCTCAGTCAGCAGAGACATACACAAGATCAATTCACAGATCTGCAGGATCTTTCTACCTACTGTGTTTAATTTTTCTGTCCAAAGCCACCATTTAAATAAATAAATAAAAACCTTTCTACCTTCATCTGTGTACCAAGCTGCAACTGTTTTCATTAAAAACAGCAAAGGTTTTCCTGGGTAGGTTGCACCTTTAAACCTAGAAATTAATTACTGATAGGCACTCCTGCTGTCAAGCTGCCTTACGTTTCCCTAGCTGAACCCAAATAACAAAAAGGCTTTATAAAGCTGTGTTTTGAACTTCTCATTTGTGTATACTGTTTATCTTTTTCAGGTTTAACCAAGTCCTTCATCTTTTTGAATTTCTTTAAGTCACCTCAAAATCTTCCCTTTTGTGCTGAAAAATTCGTCAGCATTTGCTTTTCCTTTCTTCATTTCCCCTGAACAAATATTCCTCATTTATCTCAAACTGTCTTTTTCACATTGGTGTCACAAAAAGTCACTCAAAAAGGTATAGAACAGACATTCCACGGCCACCTCTTGGTTAAAATATTTTTTGCTTCAAGGGCTGGGCTTTTGTTGCTGTTTTAGGGTTATATTTTTTTATTTCTTTTTAATTGTGACACAAATTTTTAAGCATGCTCTTGAATGAACTCATTTGAGAGTTTTACAGCAACTGGCCCTAAACATTTGTCATTCATTGCATTTTCACTGCCATAATCTGCTCAAAACCTTCCGAGTTAGTTAAAACTTCAGGCTCCTTTCACACATGGCTCTGTCTAAACAAATTATGGGTTTTGAATTGCAAGGTGTTCCCTCCTTGCAGCCATGCAAATTGTTTCTAACTGCAACTGGTACTTAAGAAGTCACTCTGTAATTACCGGATGTGTACTGTGAATCTCCTTTTCCAGACAGTGACCAAACAACACTGTCAGACAGTAAAAATCTGACTCAATACTTGGAAGCGTTCAAAAAATGTCTTTGGGGAGTTTTGCTCATTTCCATTCTCTCTCTCTCTCAGAAGGGCAATTTGTGTGCCGGAAACAGTCACCACAGCTCACTGGAGCTGGAACTTCGAGCAGAAGCAGGACCATCTTGCACCTGTAATTTTCCTGTTTGGTTCTTACAGGGGAAACACATAAGCATTAATATGTATGTATGCACGTGCACATACACATGCATACAGGCCCTACAGTAGCTAACATCTCAAAAAGCAACATTTATGCACTAACTGCAACAGCCTGCTGCTTACAGTGCAGAGAACTGTTGTGTTATTTCCAACCTCACTCTATGGCAAGGATGAGGAAACGAAGATTCCTTAATGACCACAAACATATATGCATTTACAAAAAAACTAGATATAATTATAAATAGTTATGTAGAAATAAGAGGACTAATTCGAGCTTAGGTCATGCCGTTTCAAGAGTCTGAAATTATATTAGCAACACTTTACAGGTAAGAAACACTTAGTAGATGATACAAAGCTTTGCTAGCATCTCATTTAGGACCACAAAGCTATTCTTTCCTACAGCTTCCCATAGAAGAGACTGAGTAGAGCCTTAAAATGGATAACAGCAATGCAGACTGGGGCTCTGTCAGGGCAGTTTCGTTTCTGTGCTCACTCAGAAGTTTCACCTCTCCAAGATCGCTCTAAACTGTCTCAGTGTGCCTGTGGAGAGAGTGATGCCCATCACTGGGAACTGGAGGGAGAGCCTTACCTCTTTGTACGCTGTTCAGCGATCACATATAACCAAGCTGCAAGCTAAGAATAGCTCCTGTTGCTGCTGGCTTGCTATGTGCTTTCTCGAAGATCAGCTTGGGAGGCACTATTAATCTTCACATAATTTCCTGTTTTAGAAATGGGAAGCTGCTCTGAAAAAGGTGGCCATACAATTTTTCATCACTGTGCCTCTTTTCAGTCCCTTCCATTGAAACACAACTGGTTCTTAGTACTTTATTTTTTTCCTGCTTTATGCCTTTTTTAGTGTGGGCACCTTATTTAACCATATAAAGAGAATTTCATATTATTTAAAGTAAAATACTATATAAATAGACCCAAATGCTCTATTGCTTATTTTCTCAACTACTGTATTTTAAATACTCTTACCTGCTTGTTTAGATAAGTGTCCATTAATACATCCAAAATGGCTTCTGATTTTGTAGTTTGCAATTAAAACGAATGGCAGAAGGAAGCAACCTTTTAAATAACTGCAGAAATGTGGTCCCCTCCAAGCTGTCTACACTGGGGACAGAGCTAAATTATACAAATTACTATACACCTCCTTTTACCTTGCATATCTCATATCTTAGTAGAGAAAAGCAGACTTTAGTTTTATATCACATTTCTTAGTCAAAGTGTCAAAGCTTCTTTGCAACAAGAAGTTGAATAATGATGATTCAGAATCCTTGGCAGCAGATGAGTCAGAAATTCAGTCTCCACCTAATGTCTGGTAGCAATGGTAACAGATAATGCCTGGTAGGCCTGAGATCCCTTGACCCTGGATCTATATTTTTCACTATAAGAGATATCTGCTCTAAATGGTACTTTTCCCATGTTCTTCTTTCCACAAGATTTTTAACATCCAGTGAGTTACTTACACAAGGCACTAAGAAATGAAGTCAAATTAATTACACTTTGAGAAAATGCAGCCTTTAGTACAGTAGGACTTATTCCCTTTGTTTTTTTGTTACTAGCACCTGACACTGACTCTGAATCCTAGTATAAGAAATTAAGCCCTATACCTCTGGTCAGGAAGGAAGTGGAAAGCAGTAACTCACGTAACCATTTAGGCCTCTGTTCTCATTATTCTTCTCCTTTGTGTTCAGTTCATCAAGCCCTTTGTCAGACCTGTATAAATCAGTAAATTAAATTACGACATCGCACAGTATCTCATCATGCCTGGCATTCTAGTCCTAACAGTCTTATCTTTGAAAACAAATCCTGACCAGCAATTAGATCACGATCACAGCTACCATGGTTTGGTATAACAAAATAGTTTTGCTTCTCCCTTTTCACTCTTCATTGGTTTACCTTCTAATAATTTCCTACAATGTTAACTGTTGAATATATTACTAATGCCTCTAAATTACCTCTTGGGTTCTCTTTTTTCCCTGTTAGATATTTATACACTGAATTAAAATCACAGTAGGACATCTATGTCTGCTTCTACTTGCCAAGATGTAAGTTGCCTCTCTCATCTGTTGATAGATGCACATAGCATAATGCAAGCAGGATATTAAAAAGCTAATTCTTATTCTTTCCTCTCTTAAAAATTCTTGCCTTTCTTTAAGGATCAGCTAACTCGAGTAGCTCCTTTGTATTCTTTTATTATCTTACAGCATGCTTTCTTAAGCATGACATGTCAATACAATGCAAAAATGAACATCATCTTAAAGGTTTTTTCCAACCTAAATGATTCTATGATTCTAAGAATGGCCATGATTAATGTGTTTTTTTTAAAAAAAGACTAATCCATTATTTAGTCTGATTTCCCCTTTTTGTTATTTTTTTCTTTTTTTTTTTTTAAATGGCAAATAGCAAGATTACTTAGAAGATTTCTTGAAAAACAACAATTAAAATAGCAGGAACTCAGTTTGTGCCATAAAAAATTGACTAGAAACGTGTTGATTTCCATATCCTGAAGTAAAGCATATTTTAAGTTACTGTGTGCCACAGGGATAATTTAGTCTCATTTAGTCACTGTATGGATTTCCAATAAAGAAGTCTTCTAAATCTCTTAATGTTGTTCCACTCCCAGCAAAAGAACATGAGATACAAGAGTAGTGGTAATGGTAGTGGTCTACCATTACCATCCATGCTGGGTCACGTGTGGCACCTGTGCATTATGAGAGAAAAGCACCACCAGTTCAAAATGGCAGCACCATACAGTGTTAGGCTCACAACTGGGACTACCCAAAGGCAATGCTGGATCAGTCTCCCTGGGCTTTACTATACCCAGGGGTTTCAATTCATGCAAAAAATTCTTTGGTGTAAAAGTACAATGGCTTCACTAGATTTGATTTTATTTGAGATGTGCAGATCTTCATCAGTGAAGGATCTGACATGATGAAGTTAATCATAGAAATAAATGGAGGAACTGAAGAACAGATAACAATGCCGATGTTGAAGGTCATCTAGGCTGACAGTCCTGCTCAACGCAGATCTGCTAGAGCAGGCTGCCTAGGATCATGTCCAGTCAGGTTTCGAATATCTTCAAGGATGAAGACAACTGCTCTAGGCAAACTTTCAGTAGGACACAGCAGGATGTCATCTTGTATATTTGCAGACATGAACAAATAAATAAACTCCAGAAATATTTCCAAGCATGTACATGCATTCCTTTCTCTGGGGAACTGTCCTTATCCAGACTATGGCAACCTCAGATTTAACAGTTAGAGATTATACTGGAATGCCATCAGTAAACTAGTTCCTTGTCTACAGAACATTTGCAGTTTGTTCCACTGATTCCCCATTCACAGTTCATGCTCTGATGCTTTGTTACACAACTCAACCTCTTTGTTTCTAGATGATTTACCTAATTCTTCACCCCAGCACACAATCTAAATAGGAAATTTTACACTATATGAAGTATTCTCTCAGCAAACATTTGTGCGTTTCAGCCTGACATTTGCCTTACACAGTAGCAGAAGACCTCAAATGATTGTGAAAGGCAGACACAAATGACTTGCAAACAAGACTATTAAATCTGAATCCACACTCAAAGGTGAAAAAGTATTCAAAGAGAAACGGGTCCTAACATTCACTGAGCACTCACCGATATTTGGAAAGTGAATTTGCTTATAGTCAGTGGGTGTTTTTGAAAAACACCTTGTTTGCTTTTCTTGCAATTCTGCTTCTTGTAATTTGTGGCAGATGATCTTATTAACAACTGGTGTAGGTATGTCCTGAGTTGCTCCTGCCCCCCTTACTACTCAAAGACCTCAGCTCTGCAGTTGCTTGATTTCATAACCCAAGAGAGTTAGGGAGTCATTCAGGAATTTCCCTGAGCAAGTTCCCTACTTTTCTGAGGAACTAAGACATGTTCTGTGAGCATTTCTGTCTAATCTGGGTGCATACAGCTGAAGCTTTTTCCAAAGCATGAGGCAGTGAAGACAGTGTGTCCCAGCAGCTAACCTGAGCCCCTAGCCTATGGCTGCCCCCAGCTGTGTTAGGCAGGACCCAGCATGCAGGGCTCTGGATTAAGGCTGCCTTATGATACTTTGGGCAAAGTGTTTCCTGGTGCAGTTGTCCTTTTCTGTCAGCAGCAACTTTTAAAAATTTAATTTGGATTTGCTCTTCTAATGGGTTCATTACTCTCTATTTCATTGTTTATCTTCCTAGTGTTAGCATTTTTATGGAATTATCAAGTTCTAAGCAAATAAACTTTTTTTTTTTTCTCTAAATACATTGAACTCTGAATTGTTCCTACCTCCTCCTATTAGGTTGTTTACAAGATTTTAGCTCAGTGTAGCTTTTTTGATTCCTCACATTTGGTATCTGCTGTGCTCTCCTTGGACCTCGAGCCACAAACCAAGTCTGAGGTACCTGTCCTGCATGGGGTTGGCTCCCTTCTTCAGAGTACTGAGAGCCCTTGTTACATAGACAGCATCTCCATGTAGCACTGAAACAGGGCTCCATTGGTTTTGAAGTTGTTAACTCTCATTCTCTATTTCAATACTCTCATTACCTTATGCTTAAGAACTACACAACCATTCTGATTTTCTACTACTCATTTAATGGAGCCCACTGCACTTATTTTCATTTTGTTGTTTTCTACTTCATAGTTAGAAAAATTCCCCCCACCTTCAGTTTGCAGCTTACTCACTTCTTAAGCAAAAAAACCTCCCAAAAACCAGTGAATAGAAATAAGAATTCTAAACAGCACTTAAGATAAATACATAATACATGCATATGTAGACCTGCATTCCTATATAAAACTGACTCAGGTTATTAAGTGATTAATTAAGCAATGAATGCTGTTACCCTAAGTGACATTAAGAGAAGCTGTTGGATGTTCAGATCTGTGCAAAATTAAGTCTAACTTTGGCTATCTATTTTTTACAAACTTAGATAAACTCTCCAAATAAGAGAGAGAAACAATGTGAACTGAGAAATGTACTGCGACTCTAACATTCCATATTTGCCATAAAAACAATAGCAGCTACATCAAAACAGGCAGGAAGAGAGACAGAAGGACACTTCTGACATTATGTTACTTAGAGTACAAGTTTCAGGGGGCATTTTTAGAAAGCTAAAATATTACATGGCATTGCTGGCAATGTGGACTGACGTAATTTAGAATTAACACAGCAAAATGTGAAATGACACTTTTTTTTTTTTTTTCCTCACGACTTCTCTCCATAAATAATAATCCTATATATCAACAGCACTTTCAGAGAAACAGTGAATAAGCCAGACAGGTTTAATATTGGTTTAAATTCACAGATGATGTTCAGGTGTCCTGTACTATGTAAATATTTTGACAGAAAGAGTGGGCTGGATATATCATTAGGTCAGCATAGCTTGTAGAATTTCACATTTCCCTTTTACTGGTTATTTTGTGAATAAACTGCTTTCCTTCACAGTTTACTGAAATCAGTGAGTTTTAAACTTTCCTTGAATTTAGAAACAGCTCTAGAGTGAGCTTTCTCTGTGATATTTTGACACATTTCTGTTCTCAACAACAATACAAGTATCAGAAACTAGGAATTACAAATGTGCCTTTACAGATGTACCCATAAATACAACTTGCATTTTGGAGATTCAGGAATACTACACTCTGGAAGATGACTGTATCTGGGCCAGGCAGCACATCCCTTATTGAAAATGCACAGGTAAAGCAAAGAAATGAAGGGATCTAACTTCACATTTCTGCTAGTACCTGTAAAATCTACCTAGCCAAGTTCAGCTGTTGAAGCACATGGATGGTCTAATTGTAATTTACAATTCCATCCTTGGGGGACTGAACCATGCAGTGACTCAGTCCTTGCACAGATGGGACTTCTGCCTTGCATCAACTGCTGCAAAACCACATTTACTTTCTGTAATAACATCTTACCTTTTTCTGTGATCCCACAAAAGAATGAAAAAATTGAATCTCAGACATTGATCTTGTTATATGAACAAGTCCTGAGCCTCTCATATCACAAATGAAGTATCATGAACGCCACATCCAACTGGAGCTAACTTCTTTGACCATACCAGGTAACCCTGTTATGCTTCCTCATTGCAGTGTGATGTACTTTGCTTCACATCCCTGCTGCAACTGCAGGTGCAGGCAGACACTCCAGCATCAGCTGACTCCTGATCTCATACAGGTTTGCCTTGTAAATGGAAAAGACCAATTAGCTTTTCTTCTCTTATTTTTTCAGTGAAAGCTTACTTCTTCAGACTAATCCATCATTAGAGAGCATATGAAATCCATTGTGCAAGGAAGAAGGGAAGGCAAGAAGCAATTAATATTTGGAAAAGTTAAAGGAGAAGGATTTTTTTAAAGTTGTTTAAAAATACAAGGGGAAAATACTGAAGGCAAAATGTAGTAAATGCAAAGCACATAAAAACCAAGCTGAGGTAGGCAATGCATAACTTACTTTTGGAATCCATTGCGGCAGCAAGCTCTCATCTGACTCTTAAGATTAGTATTTTGGATCTGAGAGCTTCATTGGAGTGAATCACATTAGCGTCTATGAAAGTTCACACTGTAAAAAGAAAAAAGAAGAAGTGATCTATCAGGAATCATGAATATGAGCTTAAAGACTTTCTACAAAGTTGATTTTTCAGGCCCATTGTGTAGATCTATATCAGTTCCTGGATTATTTAGTAGGTAGAGAAGTTCTGACCTTCTTTCTCACCAGTTCAGCTGCTAGAACTGTGTTCTTAATTCATAGTGTATGCTTGACAATCCTAAGGACATTGTTGAGTATAATAACACAGCAATGCAGCCACAGTAGCTGGATTTTATGCTGCAGGAGAACGGCTGCCTTAATTAATTTTCTCAAAACATTACCAGATATCAAACTTTATTAAACTAATCACCCGTTTGTATTATCACAAATCCACTTTAAGTAATACACATGCAATCTTAAAGTCTCTAATCTAGACTGCTATATTTTAATCTATTTATTTAGAGACATAGAGAAGGATTAGAGTTTGGGGGGGGTGACTTTTCTTTTTTTCTTTGCCAATCCTCTTCATATACTACTGTCTTTAAAACAGCAGATGATCTTCCCTTCCTTTTACAGTCAGAATGGTTTTTATACTCTTTCGATCTCATCCAGGTTGCCTTATGTGTGAATACATGGTAAAAACAGGTTACACACCTCTCAGTGGTACCAGAAGAGTCTCTAAAATAGCTGCTTCTCTGGGTCCAGAGAGAAAAAAAGCAGGCCAGAAAAGCTTCCATTGTTGCTGTCTAGGCTGTTTGCTTTTGTAGATTAATACAGGGTGGCTTTTGTTGAGATCAGTATTTAATTCCTTTGTGGATTGCTATCTTTATTTGACAGAAGAGATATACCAGCTGTTAAAAAAAGAAATATGTTTAGTAAGATTTGTTGTGCTTTCTTAAAAATGCCCATGCTAGGGTATTAAAGAGAAACAAAACCAACCAACCAAACAAAAAAAAAAAAAAAAGGCAGCGAAAGCCTTCTTGGTAAGAGATTGAAACGATACATAAAATAAAGCAATGAAGATGATGAGCCCATTTTCATTCTTTAATTCAAATTTATTTTTTCCCCCACTTCCCTTAAATTCCTTTGGAAGAGACTAGAATGTTCTTACCTAGAATGTATTTTACTGTATTGGAGGTCATGTCATTGGCTTCCATGACTCTATGACAGAAAAAAGAATACAAAATTTTGAGCTAGTCTAGCCAGCCAAAACATCAACACTCAGAGGTTTCCTGATTGTCTTCTTGTGCTCCTGCTCTCAATTTATAAGTAAGAAGCTGCAGATTTTGTACTCTAACTTGTATTGTGCAAGCCGCCAATAATGACAGATGTTTTAAGCTGCAGTCAGTGAGATAGCATAGATTAAAACTCTTCCTTTTTATTATTGCTTTTGATGCACACAAATCCTTTAAGAAGAATTTTAGCAATTGTTCTATTATTGCACGTCCCCTCTCCCCTTCAGATGAATTATTCATACTTTGTTGTCATAGCAATCCTTTCTCTTTCTGAAATGTTTAATAACTAGTCTTGACTCCAAACTAGACAATGAATCAAGGTAACAAAAGCTTTATTAACTAATGTGCTTTGCGGCAGATGCATTGTTTGTCTTTTACTTATACTTGCCTTGAGCTGTTGTCAGTCCGGTCTGGTGATATTAATGATGAGAGGAAAGACACCTGTAGGATATGCCCTTTACATAAGCTAGTTTCTTAGGTAGTGTCCATCTCCTTGCAGAGTGATGAGCCTCTACTTTTATGTTAGCCTGACTTTTTTCAATGAGGCAGTAGGCAGCCACTATTCTCTGCATCATGAGGGATATGGATGTGGAGGTTAGTGGGACATGCAGAATCACAGAAAGTGACAGGTCTTAACAGGGAGAATGACAGAGGCATTTTTACTGTTTTAAGTCCGTGTCTACATTATGTACCTGTGTTGCTTTACTCTTTAACCATGTCCCACAATGCAGACCATCTAACTTATCTATTTTATCCAACTGCTATGGTGACCAGCATGACTGATATTTTACATCTGAGCACTGGAGTAGAGATCATCATAACCTTTCCATCTACAACACACTTGAGGAGGAAAAGTCTGAATGCAAGAAAGTATTCAGTGACTATGCAGATTTGAACTTTTTCTATAATTTCTAAAGCAGTACCTTTGGGGAATATTAAGCGAAGATAAGCATCTGCTTTAATTTTTGCTTTCTCTAGCAGAAAGATGTCTGCTTCTTTAGCAATGGTGTCACCTCATACGTTAAAGAAGACATTTTTCCTTGCTTTGACGAATGCTAGAGAGCCAGTAGTGGGGGAATGATCAGCAGCAGAGTGCTGCTTTTCTGGAATTTTAGCTTCAGTGATTCTCAGGTTCCAAGCCCAGTCTCACTCCATCCCAACACATCTTATTCCCTGAACACTCTTGTTTTGAAATCAGCAATAAGACACTTCTGAATCCTCTGTGTGCATTCTAGTAATTTCATTCTGCCTACTATTCTCCTGATTTCATAGTCTATGAGAGCCATAGTCTTCTGCTTGCCACTCCTAAACCTGAGAAGGTTGTACTGTCAATAAGGAAACAGGGACAGTCCTGCTTTTTTCAGTTTGGTTCAGTTCAATGCAGGTAACTTTATAATCCCTACCCATACTCACTTTGCAATTTCACATATATCATGTTTGGGTCAACCCTTGGCAGAAACATTGGACACTGTTGATCTTAAGCCCCTGATATACTGTACCTCAGCCAGAGGTGTAAGTGATGAATAAATGAACTATAGATTAGGTCATATGGATGTGTTCTGTGGTGTTCTGCAGGAGCAGTTAGGGCCCAGCTCATACTGTCAGTATCAGCCAGAACTTACCCAATAGTCAATAGAAGATTTATTATAAAGATTCAGTGTTTGGCCTGAAAGATGTAAATAGGGTAATGCTACAGTCTATGAACAGTAAATCTGATGAGAGGCCTAACAGAATGGTAAATCACTAGAGCTTCTGACTCTGGTTCTAATTCAGGAATAGAAGTCCATTTTCTTTAATGAGAATTCATGAGAATAATAATGGCTTATATTTTAGAATATTAGCTGCCTTCAAGCCTGAGTAGGGCATTTGGGATGAATGCCTTACTTCTGCCCAACCTGCTGGGATGAGAAAAACCAACAAAGGTTTGCTTCCAGGGAAGAATGTGAAACCGGTTGTATTCCCCAGCAGTTTTGCTACACTGGCACAACTCCCACAAGACAAAAGATGCAATTCAGAGAAGTGGTGCCAGGATCCAACAGATGACCTCCTTTTTCTTCACTTCTACCTGCAGTGTGTGCAAGGGAGGAAAGAAGTTACTTTGCCAATACAGATATCAGGAGAACTGCTGTGGAGACCAGTTGCTATCCCAAGAGACAGCACCTTTTCAAATTCATTCTAATATTGAAATTTTCTTTTGTCTGTTGTTATATTAATTTACGACTTTACCCTGGATTTTGTTCATTCTGCCTATAATTTTGGCAGTACCTACATCTGAATCAATCCCTTCAGACAGGGGAGGTCCAACAAGTTTGTCATGAGCAGGCTCTGCCTGTGTAAAACTTCTATCCACATGGTGAGTGGTATATTCAGCATAATTTACTCATCCTCAGTTTGGTGTGTATATTTGACCTAACAAGTGCTTCATCTATCCAACGCCTTATTGTCAATGTCCTTTCCAGCCTTCTGAGATTTAAATACTAAATATAAAGCAGAATATGCATGACTAGGTTTGAGAATATTTTTTGACACTAGTGTTCATCATAAGTAGCTATGCCAAAAAACTGTTATTTTAATATTTTGTCATAAATCATCATTTACTGTTGTGCATCTATTTTATTTCATAAATATATAACGAATGATCTCTGGGTTAGACTAAATTTGACTTTTTAGCACATAAAAAATCAATACAAGTGATGTAAAAGAAGAACAATATTTAAAAATTATTTGTATGGCTCAGACAAAATAATGAAGAAATTGTAGAAATTTAACAAAAATATCCAAATGATTGAATAGTCATTTCAGGATTGTGAAGCAATCATTTTCCATGCAAAACAGAATGAATAATACTGCATGCACTACATGGTTGTGTGTCTATTCAAACAAATATCCTGTTGTTTTTAAATCACATAAAAATACAGGCCTTGTCCAGCAAAGTGTGCTAGCAGTGAGTCATAGAATCATAGAATAGTTAGGGTTGGAAAAGACCTCAAGATCATCTAGTTCTAACCCCCCTGCCACGGGCAGGGACGCCTCACACTAAACCATGTCACCCAAGGCTCTGTCCAACATGGCCTTGAACTCTAAAAGAGAGGGAGCATTCACAGCTTCCCTGGGCAAATCATTCCAGGGCCTCACCACCCTTACAGTAAAGAACTTATACCTTATATCCAATGTAAACTTCCCCTGTTTCAGTTTGAAGCCGTTACCCCTTGTCCTGTCACTACAGTCCCTAATGAAGAGTCCCTGCCCTGCATTCTTATAGGTCCCCCTTCAGATACTGGAAGGCTGCTGAGGTCTCCACGCAGCCTTCTCTCCTCCAGGCTGAACAGCCCCAGCTTTCTCAGCCTATCTTCATATGGGAGGTGCTCCTGTCCCCTGATCATCCTCGTGGCCCTCCTCTGGACTTGTTCCAACAGATCCATGTCCTTTTTATGTTGAGGACACCAGAACTGCACACAATATTCCAAGTGAGGTCTCATGAGAGTGGAATAGAGAGGGGCAGGATCAGCTCCATCGACCTGCTGGTCACCTATATGAATTCATTTGTCATTACCAGAACACATGCTTAATTTTTATTGACTTACCAGAAGGTCCAATCTCCTCCTTCCAGCTCAGTCCCCTTCATTGTCTTGATTCTTGATCTTCCAGGCTTCTCTTGCTTCTTTTTTTTGTTAGACTTGGTTTCTTTCTTTTTATTCTTGCCCCCCTCCCCCAGATGCCTTATTGAATAAAGCACCAGAATGGTTTTACAATTCAACTCTTGCCCCTTTGCCCCAGAGCTCCAAAGTTGCAACATCTTGGTACACTGAGTGGTTGTGAGATTTTTCTCAACAGGACGTCAGGCTTCCTGTTGCTTCTATGGACCCTGAAGTATCTTGTAAGATCACTACTGTAAGAAAGGACTATAAGTAATCTCCTCTGCAGTGAGTCAGATGCAATCCATCAATACCTTGGCCCTTGTTAATCCTCCCAGAAAGCTCTAAAGCTGCAAGATTGAGCTAAGAGCTGAAATCTGGAAACAAGATCATTGATAGTCTCATATCACTCTTTTGCTACCTGCATGGATGTGAACATGGCTATACAGTAGGCAACAACGCTTCTGTGGTCTGAAATGCTCTTACCTCTGAACACATACTTCAAAATATCTTTTATCCCATATTTGTTTTCAAAAGCAACAAAGAAGCTTTCCAGAACAATTCTGGACTTAACAGCCTTCTAAATGAGTAATGGAAACAGGGTGTATTTCCTTGAAAAACATGCAATCAGGCATACACAGCTTTATTCTATCTATCCATTTACCCCATGCCTGATCAGTATCAAACCCGACTGCAAAAGCTGAAGGAGTCCAGGGCTGTGACCTGTCTGTCTTTCTTTGCTGTGCTGTGTCTTCAGGGAGCAGTTTCCCACATGTAACTGAGCCCTTTTCCTTTCTCTCCCCAGGTACAGGGAGGTACCTATTGCAGCACCCAGAGCTCCAGTATTTGAAGACCAGTTGTCCTTAACACCACAGCAATGAAACTCCAGGACTTAAATTTAGGAAATAATGTCATCCTTTCAAGATGCATTTACTTTCTTTCTCCATTAATGCCTCAGACAC